TACTGAAATAGATTGTTCAGTTTTTCTCCTGTGGAGTGGCTGCTGGGTTTGAACTGGTAACCTTCTGGTTAGCAGTCAAACCCGTTAGACACTATGCCACCAGAGTTCCTTAGTGAGTTAGTAGGTAAGGTGGTAATGTTATAATTATTACCATTTTACTAATTGTGAATATGATGAAGACATTGGGTAAATGACTTGTTCAAGATGTTCATAACAAATACATTCAAAGCAGTTCTCTAAGTCTAGGACAGCAGTGGTCAATGGTATTCTGATTCTGCTTTATTTAATTAAAAAAAAAAGCAAACAAACACCACCATCATGGCCAAAATCACCATCTATGTCATCATTGTCATTGTCATCATCATGGAGGATGTCCCAAATTCTTGTAACAAAATATTTAAATATAAATATTGTATGTATTTTTACTTCTATAAATAAAAAAAAATGCATAACTGTAGGGCATCATGTCAGGTGTAGAAGACAGATAACTAAAAATGATCTAAAATTGCCTTTTTTGCATAGTCCAATCACATCTAACTTACAGAATGACACGCTCGTCAAGAGAACTGCTAACAGGAGTTCTTAGGCACAAACACACTAAATAGTCCCTTTATGTGAGTTGTTCATTTGGATCTGGAGGTTGGAGGATGGGCATTAATGACTCTCCTGGCACATGTTAGGAGCTCTGGTGGCATAGTGCCTAAGGCATTTGACTGCTAACCAGAAGGTTGGGCGATCAGCTTCCATAGTGATACTCCCTCAGAAACCTAAGGACATGTTGCTATGAGTTGGATGTGACTCAGTGACAGTGGATTTGGCAGATGTTCACTTTTCTTGATAATTCCAGTTCAAAGTTTCATAGTTTCAAACACTTCTGAAAGGACTAAAGTTCACAAGATAAAATAATCAGAACTGTGAACTTTGCAGAATCAAGAAACAAATTTCAACTTTTGCTTTCCCTCTTACATAATGTATTTTTTGCTTTTAATACATGAATTGATATACAAGTTGCTGTTCGGAGCGCAATCATGAAAGAGATGAAATAAGCCAGAACAAATTACCATAAGCCATAATTTCTGAAAAAAAGAACTATCTGGAAAGTAAACTAGTTGGGGTATGTTGGAATTTCTTATTGCATCATGTGTTCTAGGAAGAACTTACTGGGAAGAGAGATTGCTAAGTGTAGGTAAGCTTTCTTTTCGGAATAAAAATAAAATAAGTACATGGGGGTGGGGAGCTTGGAGGTTCAATGTTAGAATTCGGGTCTTCTATGTAGGAGATCTGGAGTGAATTCTTGGCCAGTACACCTTAAGCACAGTCACCACTCCTCTGTTACTGTAGGCTTACTGTGTGTAAAGTAATTAACTATGTATTATTAGCTGATTGGGCCATCTACTTCCGTAGTGGTACTGCCTTGGAAACCCAAGGAAGGGTCGCTATGAGTCAGGTCTGACTCGATGGCAAACAACAACAACAACAACATTAGCTGTGGTGGTATAGTTGGTAAGGCATTTGGTTGTCAACCAGAAAGTCAGTGCCTCAAACCCACCAGTTGCTCCACAGGAGGAAGGTGAAGCAATCTACTTTTGTAAAGATTTGCAGCCTTGGAAAGCCTGAGGGGTTGCTATGAGTCAGAATTGACGCCATGGCAGTGGATAGGTCATTATATCACAGTGTATTGTTACTATGATGTTGAATAAGTTTCGACTGTACTTCTAGTCAAAGGTAGGCTAGGAAGAATGGCCTGGCAATTTATTTCTTAAAATAAACTGAGCCAAGAAAAACCTATGAATCAGAGTGGTCTGATCTGCACAACCACTGCGTGCAGCTGACACAGGAACAGACAATGTTTCCTTCCGTTGCGTACGGAGTTGCCATGAGTCAGGGTCAGCTGACAGCAGCTAGCAATAAGAATCCCACATACATACAGAGCAGTTCAACAATTATGCTCTGGATGCTCAGTTTTGCTCTAAAATCTCTAGATTTATCCAAAAGTTTGAAGAAGGAGATTGCAATATATGTGTGTGAATGTTGTTGATGTTATGTGCCATCGAGTCCTCTCTGACTCACAGAGACCCCTCCTTGGCTTTCTGAGGTGGCATCACTACAGAAGGAGATTGCCCCATCTTCCTTCTGAATGACTGGTGGGTTTGAACTGCCAACCCTTTGGTTAGAAGTCAAGTGTCTTAGGCACTATGGCACCAGAGCTCCCCCATGCATACATGCACTCATTTAATCATTCATTCAAGAAACACTCATTTACTATTTTCACCTACTATTGGCCAGTAGTATTTGGGAGCTCTGGTAGCATAGTGGCTAAGGCACTTGACTGCTAACCAGAAGGCTGGCGGTTCATATTCACCAGCCACTCCTCGGAAGGAAGATGGGGCAATCTACTTCCGTAGTGATACCACCTCGGAAGCCCAAGGAGGTGTCGCTATGAGTCGGGGCCGACTCGACAGCACATAACAACAACACAACAACATTGGCCAGTATCTATCATATAGACTCAGTGAAGAATAATATAAATGACAAATATGAATAATTAGAAAAGCAATTAACTAATGCAACTAATCTTGCATGGTTGCAAGCATATTTAAACCAAAAAATTTAATTACATAGATTCTGTTCCTAGTTTTCGTAAAGAAGGTGGAGTACACATCACATTTTTATTTATGAAACAAAGTTACTCATTAGGTGCAGAACACTGAATACATGTCAGTCTGTCAAGTACATATCCAAGCACAGCAAACCTCAAGATATCTACTTCAAAGTACATCATAAGCTGCATGTACTTTGATTAACTTGTCAATAGGAGAATACAGAGACTTAAAATGTTTTTTCATAACTGTGTGACACACACTAAAACCTTAATAATTAAGCTCATAATACCACTTTAACAATATAGTGAAATAAAGACAACAAAACACTCACCAACTCAACAATTTCTACATGTGTAACTCAGTGACATTGAATACATTCTTCATGTTGTGCAAACATTACAATTATGCTTTTACAAGTTATTTCACCTCCATTAACAACAACCTGATGCCTCCTACTCAAAAGCTTTCCTTTTGTCCTTCACTCCTCCTCCTCTGTTATCACTGATAATCTTTGATTTCTTTATATTTGCTTATTTTAAACATTTGTCCTTGTGCAACTCACTTATTTCATTCAGTGAAAATTTTCAACTTTTGTCCATGTTGTAGTATGTAGAAGGACTTTATTTCTCTTTATGTCTGAGTAATATTCCATTGTGTGTAAGTATCACATTCATCTGTTGATGTACCCTTAGATCTTTTCAACCTCATCATATTACTTTTTAAGCAGTAATTTTCTCAGTGCAGCAAGAACATCTTTATTTCTAAGACTGTAAATCATGGGATTGAACATCGGAGTCACAATGGTGTAGAAAAGAGAGAGCAACTTGTCCATTCCTGCAGAATGACTAGACTTGGGTCTTAAATAGGTGATAGTAGCAGACACAAAGAATAAAACCACAACCAGCAGGTGAGAAGAACATGTAGAAAACCCTTTAGCCCTTCCTGAGGCTGTTGGAATCTTCAGAATAGTGGAAATGATTTTGCTGTAGGAGACGAGTATCCACATAAAAGGCATTGCAGCAAACAGCATTGCTACTATATAGACAAATATCTCATGAAGAGCAGTGTCCTCACAGGCCAGCTTGATAATAGGAGGGATGTCACAGAAGTAATGGTTGATTTGATTTGAATTGCAAAAATGCAGAGAGAACACTTGAGCAGTTAGGCCTACCTGGAGTGGGATTCCAATAATCCAGGAGCCAACTACTAGCTGAACACACATCATTTGGTTCATGACTAGAGGATAGTGCAGAGGGTTACAAATGGCCACATAGCGGTCATAAGCCATCACAGCCAGGAGGAAACATTCAGTGGTCCCCAGTACAAGAAAGAAACACATTTGAGTGGCACATGCCACCAAGGAAATGCTTCTACCCTGAGTCCAAAGATTCACCAGAATCCTGGGGAGAGTGACAGACACGTAACAGATTTCCAAAAAGGAAAAATTGGCCAGGAAAAAATACATGGGTTTCTGTAATGCAGGATCAAGTCTGGTTAAGATTATTATGAGGCTATTTCCAGTTACAATAATCATGTAAATGATGGAGAACACTCCAAATAGAAACCCTTGGAGATCTGAAATTTCAGAAAATCCAAGCAATACAAACTGCATCACTGTAGAGAGATTGCTATCTGCTTTTTTCACTTTTTGGTTCATCTGTAGGAATGGTTTAATTAGAAGTACAAGTTACCTCAATCTTCCTAGTTTTGTACACACACTTGTACTTTTTCAGTTCCTTATAGTAAATGACCAAACTGAACCAAATCGACTGCCATCAAGTATATTCCAACTCATAGCGACCATCGTTGGGTTTCCAAGGCAGTGAATCTTTACAGAAGTAGATTGTCCTGTCTTCCTTCTGCTGAGTAGCTGGTGGGTTTGAATTGCCACTCTTCTGTTTAGCAGTACAAATGGTTTAGGCAGCAGGCCACCAGAGCTCCCCTAAAACGACAATTGCTTTAATATGATGGTTAAGTGTATTTTTACATTATTGCTCAATCGATCCAAAAGAACATTTCCTTTGGTATTTTTTTGCTTAGGTTTTCCTTGCATTTCTTTGTTTCTAGAGATTAATTAGATAGGAGCTGTGGTAGCATAGTGGCTAAGATGCTTGCCTGCTAACCAGACGGCTGGCGGTTCAAACCCATCAGCCACTCCTTGGAAGGAAGGTTGGGCAATCCTACTTCCGTAGTGATACTGCCTCAGAAACCCAAGGAGGGGTCGCTATGAGTCGGGTTTGACTCAACGGCACATAACAACAACAACAAGAGATTAGATACATGAAATTAAATTTTGCTACTTACACGAACACTTAAAATCTCAAAATTTGAAATTATCTTCAGTGATAACAGTTACTTTGTTATATTGTTGGCCTGGTTTCCTTCTCATCTTTTAGTTTAGTTTACCAATGTTATCAATTGAAAATTAATTACATTACCAAAATATATATTCTGTATATATTTTTTCATAATTTTGAACAATTTAAATATAGTTAATAGAAAATGTTGATTTTCCTGGGGTGTCTCATAAGTCTGGTTTTGCTTAACATACTGAACATCAAGGCATCTATTTTGTAATAAAATGTGACGATGAACTAGCCATCAAATGTTATGGGCTTTCATTTAATCTTTAAATCCATATTAATATTTCAATGTAAGGTTTGTCAGCAGTCATAATTTGTATTCAGATTTTATGATCAAGGATAAGTTAGTAACAAGATCTTTTAGCACTTATTTTCAAGAAAGCAATTTTAATAGAAAGTTTCTTCTTTGTCTTTGATACACATGTGCTCTATAAGAGGGGCATTAACTTCAACTCATATATGATATTTTGCTAAATCATCCACATTCTCATTAATTGCTATCTTTCTGCTGACCTCATTTGTGCTGTTCATTATTCTCTCTTGCACACATTGCATTTTGCACACACTTGAGTGTGTTAGACTGTGATGGTCAATGTTCATTACATACTTTTCTTCTCTCTACACCTACATCATAAGCTTCTCAAATGATTCAATATATTTTTTTCTATGCAATACATTTTTGTTCCACAAGACATCATTGTTTAATAAATATGTAAATTGATTTAATAACACCTTTGATGGATTATAGGAGTGCCAGTGGCATAGTGCCTAAGGCATTTGACTGCTAACCAGAAGGCTGGCAGTTCAAACCCACCAGCAACTCCTCAGAAGGAAGATTGGGCCATCTGCTTCTGTAGTGATACCACCTCAAAAACCCATGGAGAAGTTGCTATGAGTCAGATCCAACATGATGGCAGTGAGTTTGTTTTTTGTTGGTTTTGATAGATAATATAAAATAATCCAATTGAATAAGTCTCTAGATAAATTTCCAGGTAGTAAGAACAGGCACTTACCCAAAAAGTAGCCTTCCTCTCATCACTACCAGGTTAAAGGATGTTATTATACTTTTTTTTTTTTTCTTAGTGTATATGTTAGGAGCTCTGGTAGTGTAATTCCTAAGGCACTTGACTGTTAACCAGAAGGCTGGTGGTTCAAACCCACAAGCCACTCCTCGGAACGCAGATGGGGCAATCTACTTCCATAGTGATACTGCCTTGGAAACCCAAGGAGGGGTCACTATGAGTTGGGTTTGACTCAACGGCACCTAACAACAACAACAACAGTGTATATGTTAAAGAATTATACTCATTTTCCTCTCTCTTCCAGAAGAAATACATTACCTTATTTTTTTTCAGGATTGCTACGTAGCTTCTATATTATATGTTAATTAATTTGAAAGTCAATGTACATTATTAGAAAGAACCCTAGTGGTGTAGTGGTTAAGGCATTTGGCCACTAACCCAAAGGTCAGCAGCTCAAACTCAAAATCTGCTCCAGGGAGGAAGATGAGGTAATCTGCTCCTCTAAAGATTTACAGTCTTGGAAACCTTATGGGGCAGTTTTGCTCTGTCTTATTACAGGGTCTCTATGAGTCAGAATATACTCCTTAGCAGCAGGTATTGGCTGCTATGTTTGTTGCTGGTTGTCGTTGAGTTCATTCAATCTCATGAAAACCCGTGGAACTTCTCAGGAAGGGTTTTAAGACTGATCTTTTGGAAGCAGTTTTCTAGTCCTATCTTCCAAGACACTCAGTGTGAATTATAACTACCAACATTTCAGCTGGCATTCCAGTGTTTAACCATTTGCATGTCTCACTGACTGGTCAGTAGACATAACCTTTGTAAAAAGAGGAGACTAACCTACAACTATATACCAACGACTGTGAGGATGCCACAGAACCAGGCAGTTTTTTTTTTTTGTTGTTGTTCTATTTTATGTAAGGTCTCTATGATTAGGATCCAACTTCTCTGGCACTTAACAACAACAGGAAGGTTGTTAAGCACTGATCATGTCCTGGAGGAGCCACAATTGGGACAGTAGCAATGGTCCTTAAAAATCTGGAATCCTGTGAATTGTTTTTGACTGAATAAATGACAGACACATAACCACTATTATGTTGTTGTTGTTATGTGCCGTCGAGTC